CATTTCCTTGTTGGTCTTCTGCCTGGATGATCTATCTATTGTTAAAAGTAGAGGATTGAAGTCCCCTACTATTATTCTATTGCTATTTATTTCTCCCTTTAGATCTGTTAGTATTTAGTATACCAAGAGCTCTGATTTTGTGCATGTAAATTTAATATTGTTATATCTTCTTGATAAATTGGCCCCCTTATTATATAATGACCATCTTTGTCCCTTGTTACTTGGCTTGAAGTCAATTTTATCTGATATAACTACCCCTGTGCTCTTTTGGTTTCCACTTGAATGGAATATCATTTTCCATCTGTTCACGTAGAGCCTATGTGTGTCTTTAAAGCAGAAGTGATTCTCTTGCAGGCAGCATATACTTGGGTCTTGCTTTTTATCCATCCAACCACTCTATGCCTTTTAATTGGAGAATTCAATGCATTAACAAGTAGAATGATTATGGGAAGGTAAGGACTGACTACTGCAGTCTGATAATTATTTTCTGGCTGTTTTGTAGTTCCCTTGTTCCTTTCTTCCTTTTTTGCTTCCTTCATTAATGAAGTGATGATTTTCCCAGTGGTATGCTTTGATTCCCTGCTTTTTATCTCATTTGTATTGTATCTACTGTAGGTTTTTGTTTTGTGGTTACCATGAGGCTGATATAAAACATAACTATAACAGTCTATTTGGCACCGATAACTAATCCGTACAAAAGCTCCACCCTTTTAGTATACTCCCCCTTTTGATTTTTTGATGTCACAATCTCTTTTTAATTTTTTAATTTATTTTTAAAAGATTTTATTTATTTGACAGAGATCACAAGTAGGCAGACAGGCAGGCAGAAGGAGAAGCAGGCTCCCTGCTGAGCAGGGAGCCAAACGCGGGGCTCCATCCCAGGATACTGGGATCATGACCTGAGCCGAAGGCAGACACCCACCCAGGCGCCCCTGACGTCTTAAAAAAAAAAAAAAAAGATTCATTTATTTATTTGAGAGAGAGAGAGAGCAGGGGGAGGGACAGAGGGAGAGGGAGAGAAAAAATCTCAAGCAGACTCCCCACTGAGCACAGAGCCCAATGTGGGGCTTGATCTCAGGACCTGAGTTGAAACCAAGAGTTGGACGCTCAACCGACTGAGCCAGCCAGGTGCCCCAACCTCTTTTTATATTGTGTATTCATTAACAAAAGATTATAGCTCTAGTTACTTATAATACTCTCATCCTTTAACCTTTATACTAGAGTTGAGTGGCTTCCGCATCACCATATTACTGTATTCGTCTGAACCTGACTATATAGGTAACTCTAACAATGTGTTGCGTATTTTCATGTTACTAAATAGCATGTTTTGGTTTCAGCTTGAAGAGTTTCTTTCAACAAAGGCAGGTCTAGTGGATTCTCTCAGCTTTTGTTTTTCCAGGAAAGTCTTTACCTGTCTTTCATTTGTGAGGGACAACTTTGCCAGATAGAATATTCTTGAGAGTTTTTTTTCTTTCTTTCAACACTTTTCATATATCATCCCTTTCTCTCCTGACTTGTAAGGTTGCCCATGGGCAGATAGGGGGATCCAGGGGCGAGGCCTCTCTAGCAACTCCTGGGCAGGCTTCTTGATGGAGCCTGTTGAATCACTTAGTAGGACCTATGTCCCTTTAGTGCCCTCTGAGAGTCCTCTGTGTGGCTCTCTCAGCCTCTTCCCTCCATCCGCCCCCCCCCCACCATGATCTTACAGCTCATGATTCAGTACTCTGCATGGGGCAAGAGAGCAATGAGCCTCTTCTGTAGCTCCTGCGCAGCTGAGGAAGCCAGTACTCACTCACATGCTCTCTCTGCCCTCCCCCCATCCACCCCCCAGGATAAAGCTCAGGCCCAGGAGACCTCTCTTGGCCCTGAGCTGTGCTGCCTTGGGGGAGGAGTGATGTGAGGAAAGTCCATCTTACCCTCTCCGATGCATCCAAACATACTTTTTTGTTCCAACTGTCTCCTAGAACTTCTCTGCTGGAAACCTGGGTTTCCACAAAGGCTCTCCTATCCCTGTTGATTATCTAAGTCAGTGTTGTTTTTTTTTTAAGATTTTTATTTATTTATTGAGAGAGAGAATGGTAGAGAGAGAGCACGAGAGGGAGGAAGGTCAAAGGGAGAAGCAGACTCCCTGCCGAGCAGGGAGCCCGATGCGGGACTCAACCAGGGACTCCAGGATCATGACCTGAGCCGAAGGCAGTCACTTAACCAACTGAGCCACCCAGGCACCCTAAGTCAGTGTTTTCTGCAGGCTCCCTGACCAGAGCCAAGAGGGAAGATGGTTCACAGGCCACTGTAGGGTCTGTAGCCAGGACCAAGGTCTGTGTGCCTATTACCTCACACACAGGAGGGCAAGACTCCTCCTGGGTCCCTTGGCATATGGTGCAGGATTTCACAGCTCCTACCAAGACCCTTTTGCCTGTGGATGGATGTCAACTTGTTGTTGGGGTGGGAGGACATGGATGAGGAACATCTTATTCAGCCATGATGCTGGTATCACCCATGTAAAGTTCTTTACATTTTCTGGATATTAATTTCTTATCAGATATATGATTGACAATTATTTTCTCCCATTCCATAGGTAGCCCTTTTACTCTTTTGATTATTTCCTTTGATGTGCAGAAATTTTAAATTTTGACATAATCCTGTCATGAAGATTTACTTCTATGTTTCTTCTAGGAGTGCTATAATCTTTTAAGATTTTTCTTTTTTTTTTTTTTTAAAGATTTTATTTATTCATTTGAGAGAGAGAGAGAGAGAGAGAGGCAGGCCGAGGGAGAAGGAGAAGCAGACTCCCCGCTGAGCAGGGAGCCCGATGCGGGACTGGATCCCAGGACTCTGGGGTCATGACCTGAGCCGAAGGCAGTCGCTTAACCGACTGAGCCACCCAGGCGTCCCATCTTTTAAGATTTTTAAAAAAGATTTTGTTTATTTATTTGACAGAGCGAGAACACAAGTAGGAGGAGCGGGAGAGGACAAGCAGGCTCCCTGCTGAGCAGGGAGTCCAATTCAGGGTCCAATCCCAGGACCCTGGGACCATGACCTGAGCTGAAGGCAGATGCTTAACTGACCGAGCCAGGGAGAGGGAGAAGCAGGCTCCCTGCTGAGCAGGGAGTCCAATTCAGGGTCCAATCCCAGGACCCTGGGACCATGACCTGAGCTGAAGGCAGATGCTTAACTGACCGAGCCACCCAGGTGCCCCTAAAGATTTTTATTTATTTATTTGAACACAAGCAGAGGGAGGAGAAGAGGGAGAGGGACAAGCAGACTCGCTGCTGAGTGTGGAGTCCAATGCCGGGCTCCAACCCATGACCCTGAGATCATGACCTGAGCCGAAATCAAGAGTCGGTTGCTCAACTGACTGAGCCATCCAGGAGCCCTGGGTTTTACACTCTTATGTTTAGGTCCTTAATCAATTTTGAATTAATTCTGTATATTGTTTAGGGTAGGGATCACACTCCATTCTTTGACATGTGCATATACAGTTTTCCCAGCACCACTTGAAGAGGCTATTTTTCTCCATCTTCCCACTGGCACCCGTTGAAGATCATTTGAGCATATATGTGAGGGTCTATTTCTGGGCTCTGTATTCTGTTCCATTGGTCCATGTGTCTGTCTTTATGCCAATACCAGGACTGCTACCTCTTGACCAACTACAGCTGTAGCATCTATGTAGCCTTCTCTCCCTATAGGGAAAATGCACTGAGATACCCAATCCTAGAATCACCGCCACTTCCTGACAGCATCCAATCCAGAGTAAAGCCCTGCTTCCTTGGACTCTGTCCAAAATCACCTAATATAAGCCCAAATCCTATACAGGCATACCTGTGTTGTTACGCTTCACAAGTATTCCATGTTTACAAATTGAAGGTCTGTGGCAGCCCTGCATTGAGCAAGCATATTGGCACTATTTTCCCAATAGCATTTAGCATTTGTTCACTTCATGTCTCTGTCACATTTTGGCAATTCTCCCAACATTTCAACAATTATTATTATTATATTTGTTATGGTGATCTCTGACCAGTGATCTTTGATGTTACTATTGTAATTGCTTGCGGGTGCCACAAAGCACGTCTATATAAGACAACAAATTTAACAAATGTTATATATGTTCTCACTGCTCCACAGACCAGTCATTCCCCCAATCTCTCTCCCTCTCCACAGGCCTCCCTAGTCCCTGAGACACAACAATATTGAAAGCAGACAATTAATCATCCTACAATGGTCTCTAAATGTTCAAGTGAAAGGAAGACTCACACATCTCTCACTTTAAGGCAGAAGCTAGAAATGATTAAGTTTAGTGGGGGAGGCATGTCAAAAGCAAAGATAGGCTGAAAACTAAGCCTTTTGTGCCAAACAATTAGCTAAAACGTGAATGCAAAGGAAAAGTTCTTGAAGGAAATTAAAAATGCTACTTCAGTGAACATACAAATGATAAAGTGATGTAGGTTCCTGGTGGTCTTCGGTTGGAGGGTACGGGCATACAAGAACATGGGATTACTATCTTCAAAGTATATAGGACAGTATGCATCAACAAGAAAGAGATTCACAGGCCAATAAAAATACTGGACAAAGAGAAAAAAAACAGTCACAAGAGAAGAAATGGCTTCATAAATCTTGGGGGAAAAAAAACTGTTTAACCCCAAATGCATAAAATGATACTGCTGATTCAGTCGGTGGGACCATCATTTCAAATTTGAGTCCCGCTGCTGCCGTTGTCCCTTTCCGTAAAGCCTCAGCACTAAAAGCCTGGGAAACCCTGTATTTGGGGAAGTTTATCTGCTACCATTAAGTTGCGAGAGCTGCGGCCGGACACGGGTTTAAAGCCGGCTGGGCCTCAGCCGCCCAGCGCCTTCCGCAGGTAGTACACATTCCCACGGTCGCCGTGGTCCTCCGAGGGAGCCCCTGCGCATCTCAGGCCGACTCGTCACAGAAGAGGGCGTTCTAGCCGGCCGCCTACTCCATGGTAGGGCCCCCAGCGCGCTTGGCCCCTGGCGGCCGCCATGTTGGAGGCTCGGGCAGGGAGCCATGGCTGCGAGCGGCGGGTGCAGAGTCGGAGCTGCGGCAGCTCCGCGGGGCAGATGCTGGAGGTGCGGCCAGGGCTGTACTTGGGTGGAGCCGCGGCCGTGGCGGAGCCGGACCACCTGAGGCAGGCGGGCATCACGGCCGTGCTGACGGTGGACTCAGAGGAGCCCGACTTCAAGTCGGGGGCGGGGATGGAGGGTCTACGGAGCCTCTTCGTGTCGGCGCTGGACAAGCCCGAGACTGACTTGCTCAGCCATCTGGACCGGTGCGTGGCCTTCATCAGCCAGGCCCGCGCCGAGGGCCGCTCCGTGTTGGTGCACTGGTGAGTGGCCCGCACGTGGGGGAGCGGCCCCGCTTCCAGCCTGCCGCCGTCACCCCTTCCTCCGAGGACCCTAGGGGAGGACGAAGGGGCTGTCAGACCACCAGAACCTCGTCTCCGTCCCCTCCGCGACTGGCGTGTGTCCGAGAGAGAGGAGGGGCAGGAGGCGGGCCCCCGATGGCGTGCTTGCTCTCGTTCATTCTTGTTTTGTTGATTCATACTTGTTTTCGTTGGTTCATTCTGCAGTGCCCCTTCCCATCCCCGAGTTGTTGGGGTCTGATAGATGGCAAGGTCCCTGAACCTAAAAAGAGTTTAAAAGCTCTCCGGGGGGCGCCTGGGTGGCTCAGTCGCTGGGCGTCTGTCTGCCTTCGGCTCAGGTCGTGATCCCGGAGTCCTGAGATCGAGCCCCGCATCGAGTTCTCTGGCCCGAAGCCGGCTTCTCTCTCTCTCCCACTCCCTCTGCTTGTGTTCCCTCGCTCGCTGTGTCTCTCTCTGTCAAATAAATAAATAAAATCTTAAAAAAAAAGGGGGGGGGCGCCTGGTTGGCTCAGTTGGTTAAGCGACTGCCTTGGGCTGAGGTCATGATCCCGGAGTCCCGAGATCAAGCCCCGCATCGGGCTCCCTGCTCAGCAGGGAGTCTGCTTCTCCCTCTGACCCTCCCCCCTCTCGTGCTCGCTCGGTCTCTCATTCTCTCTCAAATAAATAAAATTAAAAAAAAAAAAAAAAAAGGCTCTCGGGAGAAGCCAGACACCTACCCGGATGATTATAATGCAGATCAGGATGCCAGTCGTATACTAAAAGAGATGAACGGAGGTTAAGGTTATTCAAACTTCAAAGGAAAAGCAGATTATTTTCAATGTTTTTGTTTGGGCAGAGGGTGGTTGGTGAAGAGAAATGGGGAGAGGAAAATTGGTTAGGACATGAAGGAGCCCAAAGCCATGCCCAGGGGTGAGATGGGAGTAAGTTGTAGCAATGCCTATAAGAAAATCTTGATAGGTATTTGGGAATTCTTAGTAGTCCTCTTTAGTTCATTGGAATGTAATAACTAGTTTAAATTTATTGAGTCAGCGCTTTTACTGCGTGCCAGTACTTGCTGTAAATATTTACATAAAGGACATAAGGTAGTGGTAAAATGGAAAGAAGCCTGGACCAGATTTCAGGGCCTTTAATGCCAAGAGCAAAGGAGCGTTGGATTTTTTCCAAAGCCATTATAAAATTTTTTACATTAGTGTAATTATTTTTGAAAAAGTAATACATTCCCATGGTTCAGAATTCAAAAAGATTAAGGAAATAAAGGCATAATTCTTTTGTGTGTTGGTAGTATTTCAGAGGCAAAGGGTTTATTTGGGTAGAAGCAGCAGACATGAAGTGGACATGAACTTTACCGTTGATAGGGAGCTGGGCTTTTTTTTTTTTTTTTAATTGCTGCTATTTGCCATTTTATTTTAAAGGTCTCTTTTTCAGTCATGCAGGAGTTAGTCGAAGTGTGGCTATAATGACTGCTTTTATGATGAAGACTGACCAGCTTACCTTTGAAAAAGCCTATGAAAATCTCCAGATCATCAAACCAGAGGCTAAGTGAGTTTTTTGTTATAGAAATAATTGTTTTTTTGATGTGATTTTATTCATTTAGAGAAAACTTAACTTTGTATTTGTTTGTCCTTACAGAGTGAATGAGGGATTTGAGTGGCAACTGAAATTGTACCAGGCAATGGGATATGAAGTGGATACTTCTAGTGCAATTTATAAGCAATATCGTTTACAAAAAGTTACAGAAAAGTATCCAGGTAAGTAATAATTGCTAGTACTTATTGGGCCCTTTTTAGATGCTCTTTACTCTGCTGCTAAAGGTTTCAGGTGCTTTATCTCACTTTTCCACTAATCCCTTGAGACAGGTACAATTTTTTTTTTTTTTTCCTTCTGAACCAGTGCTTTAGCAAGAAATAACTTGTTCAAGGTCACATGGTTTGTAAGTGGTGGGCTAGGATTTGAACTCAGGCAGTCTGTGCTCAGAACCCCAGGGCTGCTTCACTATGCTGTCTGACCTCACCCTGATTTCTCAACACTGGAGATTTTTTTTTCCCCTGAGCTTAGCACTTCTTGCCTCAATTTGACATTCGCTGAATTTTCTCTGAAAATGCAGAGTTGATTTCAACAGATACATTTTAATTATCTCATGTAGAATTACAGAACTTACCTCAAGAACTCTTTGCTGTTGACCCAACCACCATTTCACAAGGACTGAAAGATGGCATTCTCTACAAGTGTAGAAAGTGCAGGTAAAATATTTTCTATCCTCTGGAGATTTTATCTTGTCTCAGTAGCCAAAATGTACTAAAAGTTTCATTTTCTTAAAATCTGTAGGAAGAATTTGTTTAATTGCACAAAATAAAAATTTCAAATTCAAAACTGCTTTTAAGAAAATATAAGTTCTTTTTTTTTTTTTAAGGTTTTATTTATTTTTTGACGAGATAGAGAGAGAGCGAGAGAGGGAACACCAAGCAGGGGGAGTGGAAGAGGGAGAAGCAGGCTTCCTGCTGAGCAGGGAGCCTGATGTGGGGCTCGATCCCAGGACCCTGGGATAGTGACCTGAGCCAAAGGCAGACGCTAATGACTGAGCCACCGTTTATGTAAGAATATAAATTCTTAAGAGTAAAAGTAAATCAGGTTACTTGTAGAGGTTATTGAAAATTAAAGTAGCATAATCCATTTTTATTTTGCTAAGAAACACTGCACATTTCATCTATTTTTTCATCCTTTTGGAAGTCATTAATGTTTTTGTTTGGGGGTTGCAGGCGATCTTTATTTCGAAGTTCTAGCATTTTGGATCATAATGAAGGAAGTGGTCCCATAGCCTTTGCCCACAAGAGAGTGACACCATCTTTCACACTCACCACAGGGAGTCCGGCTCAGTGTACATCGTATTTCATTGAACCTGTACAGTGGATGGAATCTGCTTTGTTGGGCGTGATGGATGGACAGGTAAGAACACATTTTATTTTCTGCAGTTTCATTATGTCATCTATATTTTGTTGTTTCTTGTCCTCTAGACCATATTTTAACTGGTGTTTCACTCTATCATAAGTACTTTCCTTATGAAGATTATATCTTTCTAGGGCAGATAAGAGTCTATCAAATTAATTAAGTAAGTAAAAATCCAGCCTATGTAAAGTAGTGAACCACTTTTGGTTGAGAGCTGTTGGTCTAAGTTAATTCCTTCTAAGGCTATTTATATTTTTTCAAATAGACTAATGTAAGCCGATTAGAATATATTTAACAAATTCAAACTTGGTAACAAGTAGGGCAAATCAAGGATTTTAAAATTATATTTAAAGTTTCTTTCTCTTCTCTTCCTTTTTCTCTTTTGGCTCTTCTCTCTTTTTTCCTGATATTTCGGTTCAGTATGTTTGCTAAGAGATTCATTTTCATTTTCCTATTCTTAAGAATGCAGCTCATGAGAGCATCCTGGGATGGCCACATTTCTCCTTTAGGTTTACTTAATATTAATTTAAAGATATTCTTAATCTAAGATACAGTTAGTCTTAATGATTGTAAAGGTTTTTATGGTTTGTATAATAAAAATTTTATGAAACTCACTATATTTCACTTGAAGAATACAATAATGTACAAAACAGGTAGAACATATATAGTTATATGTGAGGAAACTTAGTTTATGTTAGCATCTTGCCTAAAAAGAGGTACTTTATATTCAAACCCATGTTTTCAGACAATTCTGCTTATTGAGATGTAACTCACATACCATATAATTTACCCATTTAAAGTGTACAGTTCAGTGGTTTTTAGAATATTCACAGAATTTTTGCAACATCATTATTTTCATCATTCCCAGAATAAACCCTATACCCGTTAGCAGTCACTTCCTGTTCTTGGTGGTATCATTTGCAGCAGTAGGGTTTTTAATTTTGAAATATACTTTATCTGTTTTTTTCTTTCTTGCTTGCTTTCTTTTGTGGCTTGTGCTTTTGGCTTGCTGCTCTTATTTAGCCTGGAAAACATAAAAGATGAAGGCATTTTTATGGAAGATTCTACGTCACATTTGTGCATACTTCTCTGTGCACTTATTTGAATGTTCCTATAGACCTAAAAGTGGAATCCCTGTCCTGTGGAGGGATGTGTATGTCTTAAATACTGCTAATATTCCACCCTGACAATAAAATGCTTATACAAATTGCTTTTCGCTAACATTGAATGCATGTATCCATTTCTCCATACCCTTGGCGTAATGGGTATTATGAAACTGGTAAAGTTTTGTCAATCTGGGACATGAAAAATGTTTTTCTTAAAATGTTTTAATTTGAATTTCCATTCTACTGCTGAGGGCCAGTATTGTTATGTATTTATCAGCTATTTATAGCTTCTTTTTCTATAAATTTCCTTTACATCCTTGGTCCATTTTTCTATGGATTTTGCCTTTTTCTTATTGAATTATAGGATCTCTTTATATAGTCTAAATGTTAATGATTTTTCTAATATATTGCAAATATCTTCTGTCTGTTGCTTATTTCAGCTTTGTGGTATATTTTGTCATATTAAAATTTAAGATACTTCTGTAATCAAATTTGGTTTCTGAGTTTTATGTCCAGAGTTTATATCATCTAAGATTAAAAATAAGACTCCCTGCCTCATGTCATGCACAGAATAACAGGCTAAACTTAAAAAATAATGCTCTGAATACATCAGAATACAATATAATAGGCATGTTCAGGTTTTTTTTTTATTTATCTATTTTACTGGAGTATCAGTTTGTTTTTAAATAGCCATGAATCTGAGGCCTAGCCTACATGCTACCAATATCAGTACTGATCTGACATGAGGCTCCTAACATGCTTTCCTAGTCTTCGGCCTTGATGATCTTAGTTTGAGATATTAAGCTGCAGACTGATTGAAAAGGCAACACATACCACATCCTGAAATCTTGCATCATATCTCAACCTTTATCTTCCCCCCACATACTGGGATTAATCTGGTCCTTCTCCAAACTCCCAGCATACAATGTGCTTCTTACACAATTATCATAGTCCACCATCTGTTAGGGTAAATTGCCGTTGTATTTTATCTTGCTGATCCGATCATAAAACTCCTTGAAGGTGGGAGCCATGTCTTACCTGGTTTTTATTTTGTTTTGTTTTGTTTGTGTTTTTAGAGAGGGAGAGAAGGGGAGGGGCAGAGGGAAAGGGAGGAGAGATGCAGACTCCCCACTGCGTAAGGAGCCCAAGGTGGGGCTCAATCTCATGACCCTGAGATCATGACCTGAGCCTGAGTCAAGAGTCCAATGCTTAACTGAGTCTTACCTGTTTTTATATCCTATATTGCCAGTGATAATTATTTGTCTTGTATAAAAGTGAGTGAATGTTGTAACACAGTTCCTTTATTTCAGCTTCTTTGCCCCAAATGCAATGCCAAGTTGGGTTCTTTCAATTGGTATGGTGAACAGTGCTCATGTGGTCGATGGATAACACCTGCTTTTCAAATACATAAGAACAGAGTGGATGAAATGAAGATGCTGCCGGTTTTGGGATCACAAAGAAAAATATGAACTTGACATTTTTGATAGCTTGGAAAGAAACTTGCTGATATGTGCTTCCCTCGCTTGTTGTCATTCGTGGCATTGTCTAGTTTATAGGCCATCAGCATTTCATTTGATGTGACATGGAAACTGTGCTTTGTTATTTGTTAGTCTCTTACACCATTTAAGTAGAATACTTTATATGGAAATCAAAACTTTTAATCATGTAAATTGTACTTTATTTGATATTAAAATTTTCTGTAACCCATATTCTTTGTTTCATATATTTTCAAGAGTTCTGATTTTTGGAATGTTTAGTTATGTGATATTAAGGTCTGGATAGACAAAATTATTTATAAAAGTTGGAAATTATCATGTTTAAGTAGATTTTTTTATTTCTAGGTATGTAAAGCAGATTTGTTTGGACATATTTTGAAACTTATTTCTGTTTAACGGACATTAGTAAATCTGCGTATGTCTGGATTTTTCTTGGAAATGTAGAAGGAAAGGCTATTAGTAAAACATTGACTAAAATAAGCTTTTCCTGTTACTCTTTAGGAATCCCAATTATGTAAATTTTTAGAAAAGTATGTTTAAGATACGTTTTGAAGTAATTACTTAAAGAAATGTATTAATGTTAGGTGTATTTCTAAAGATGAGGAAAATACATGTGGAATAACTACATATCAATTACTTTTTTAGCCTGATAGGTTAGAGTACTGGAAAAGGTACTGTGTCCAGATTAGCTTTTTAACATGATCTCTGGAAACTGGAGTTTATCTTACTCATTACTAATAATTAGAATTGGACCTAATTAGATATTTGAACATTTACATGAAATCAGAATTAGCTAATAAAGAGAAATATAGTCCATGTTCTTAAGACACTTTGCATATTTACATGTATGTATATAAACACCAAAAGGGGAATAGTTTTAAATGGAAAAAGTGAAAATGAACCTCTTAAATACCTAGTTTAATTTTATTTATTTTTACAGAGAGAGCGTGCGGGAGCCAGTGGGGAGCTGCAATTTATTGGGGGGGGGAGAGGGAGAGAGAATCCTAAGTAGGCTCCATGCCCAGCGCAGATGGATCAATGCCCAGATGGATCTAATGACCCTAAGATCATGACCTGAGATTAACCAACTGAGCCACCCAGGCGCCCCTACCTAGTTTAATTTTTGAAATGTTGGGAGTGTTACAGGTGATTCTTGAGAACATCTTAACATAGGACCTTTGGTAACTTTCATAAAATAATTTTTCCTAGGAGAAAAAATTTCTCCATTTCTATCTAAGCTTTTGTAGTATCTGTTCACTTTGCTTCATAATATACTCTAAAAAACTTTTTGAGAACAATCAGGCTGAACCAAATGAATTGTGCCTTTTGTAGGTAAAAAGTTGAGTAGCGAGAGTTTTGTATGGCTATCACACTGTAGCATCTAGCGCAGAGAAAATTACATAGATTTTATCTGAATTTGCAATTGTCAATTCAGTAAATATTTACTGAGCACCTGTTATGTGCACAATTCTAGGTGACACAGTGAACAAACTAGATAAAACCCCTCTCTTTTTTTTAAGATTTTATTTATTCATGAGAGACAGGCAGATGCAGATGGAGAAGCAGGCTCCCTGAGGAGCAGGAAGGCCAGTGCAGGACTTGATCCCAGGACCCTGGGATCACAACCTGAGCCAAAGGCAGACGCTTAGTCGACTAAGCCACCCAGGTGCCCCAAAACCCGTCTTCTTGCAATATTTATATTCTAGCTGAGAGAGAGACAAGGTACTTTTTTTAAGATTTTATTAGCACACACAAGCTGGGGGGGGAGGGGCAGAGGGAGAGAGAGAAGCAGACTCCACTGAGCAGGGAGCCCCAGGTGGGCTCCATCCTAGGACCCTGGGATCATGACCTGAGCCAAAGACAGATGCTTGACTAAGCCACCCAGGTGACCTGACAAGATACCTTTTTTGAAAGATAATTGGTATTTGCCAGTGGAAAATGAGTTTGGGGAGATTGACTTTTCTTTATGTAAATTTTGAAATTTTGTGAAACATCCACTAAGCAAAAATTCCCAATTTAAAGTCCATTAATGTTTCTCTTGGTAAATAGTAAATAGAAATGGTAAATAGAAAATCCATTATGCCTTTATTCTCAAGAAGAAACGTTAACAAGTGGAACCCTTTTTAATATTTAAGAACATCAACTTACAACACGTAGTTTTACACATTTGTCCAAAATAGCGATATGAACTTTATTTCATAGGTGGTGTTTCACATGCAGTTAAAATAGTACTGAAGTAGAAGTCAGACTGGGATCTGATAATTTTGGCTCCCCCTGTTTCTAGCTGCCCGGGTCTTTTGAAAGTTGAGGGTCAGGTTTCTCCTTCATGAAATGGGATTAATATATGTTCTACTGCTCTGCCCTACTAATAGGGTTGTTTTAAAGGTCATTTGCATAAGCCTTAATTCCTTGTATAAAAGGGAGATAATAACTGTATCCAATCCGGGTGGTTGTGGGGATTTTAGTGATACAATGCAGTTATAGAAACTAATACAGTGCCTAGCTAGTAGCATTCAACACTGTTCTTTAAAATAGCTGCAATTTATTGAGAATTTACCATGTGCTAGTCACTATGCTAAGCATTTAATGTGTATTATATAATTTAATACTCCCCAAAATCCTATGAGATAGATTCCCATTTTACAGGTGAAACTGAGGCTCAGATTAAGTCACTTCATCAACATTATATTGCTAGCAAATGGTTGAACCTAGATTAGAATCAAGATTTGGCTTATTCCAAAATCTGAGCTTTTAATTCTGTATTCTAGTGTTTGAGTTCACTGTTTAGGGTGATAGAAAAGATGTCATACTGAAAATGTTAGATTGTAAAACATAATAGCACTGATGAAATGCAATTTTTAATCAAGTTGTAAATTCACTGGTCAGGTACCCCACCAACACTTGCAGAATTCTGTGAGTGCAAATTGAGGCCCAGATACTATTTGTCTTAGTATTTGAAATTTATAAATCAAGCTACCAAACCATTAAATAAAATGTGTTATTCTCTTTTCTTGATAAACCTACCTTCATAAAGACCTGGGAGACAAGGTTTGAGTTTAAAATTCTCTGACTTTATGGAGTTCTCTGACAAAACATGGCAATGCAGGGAGAGTTGGCCTCCGACCTACAGAGCAACCTACAGAGTTGGCCCCTTTCCTCACCCCTGGGTTTGTTAATATGCCTGGTGCATATGTATACATGAACTTCCCACCTCGCATTTCTAAGCTATTTGGGCATAAGAAGCATGTCTAGAAGAGGCATGTCTTCTGGTTGGGCATATCCCCTTGGCACCATGGATTCTCACCCTGTGGGAAGAGACACTGCCAGATGCCAGAGTAGTGTCCTCTGAAGTGTGGATCTAGGCAAGGGCCTCCTTTATGTCTCTAGGCAAAACTCTCTCTCCAATTTCATTTCTCTTCCAAGTGTTTAAGTTGAAAGCAAATGAATAAATTAAAGAAGATTCATTAATATTCGACATTTATCATTAAAAAAAAAAAAGCACCGTAACTAGAATGGAAGGAGTATATGACCAGAGTGTGCATAAAAACTATAATAACCACAGCAAATTTCTTGATGAAAAATGAAATTTTCCTTGCATTAAAAAACTACGGGAAAAACCTTATCAATAGTAACTTTTTAAAACTTTCACATTAAAGTTGGGAACAAGTTAAAAGGTGTATACTCGTGCATCTACCTTCAGTGTGGTACTAGAGGTCCTGGCTATTGTAATAAAATAAGAAGGGGAAAAGGTTTAAGACTTAGGAAAAAAAACAGAATTCACTGATAAATCTCGACATCTATAAAAGTGGGGTATTTAGAAATTATGTGCCTCCTTGTACGATGCAAGGAAGTTCCTAAGAAGTATTCCTGCAAAAACAAATGAAACACAAACCGTCTAATCAAGTTTACATTTAACTGGCAGTTTACAGGAACAAATCACCATGAAGACACAAACAGCAGAATCACAAAGTGGGAAATTCTATAGGACAAATGACAGATTCTTTAACAAACGGCATGGGGTGACAAGTGGAAGAGGGGACTGTCCCATGAACCAAATGCAACCCGATGATCCTGATTTGAGCAAACCAACTGTAGAAAGGAATTTTGGGGAGAAAATTGAATGTGGAATGGGTATTAGATGATATTAAGGAATTATTTTTGGTGGGTATCATAATGGTATTGTAGTTAAGTTTTTTTTAAAAATGGAAAAAAGCTTTGTCAGGATATATATTGAAGTATTTATAGGTGAAATAACATGATATCTGGGATTTGCTTTAAAACAAGGGATGGGGTGCCTAGGTGGCTCAGTCAGTTAAGTGTCTGACTTGACTTCAGCTCAGGTCATGATCTCAGGGTCATGGGATCCAACCCTGCATCAGGCTCCACCCTCAGTGCAGAGTCGGCTGGAGATTCTCTCTCCCTCTGCCCCTCCCCCTGCTTATGCTCTCTCTCTCTCGATAAGTAAATAAATAAAATCTTAAAATTTTTTTTTTTTAAAAACACTCCAGGGGAAAAAAAACAAACCAAAACAAAAAATAAAATTGTTGTGGGAGAGAGGGTAGATAAAACAAGAATGGCAAATTGTTGAAGTTGGGTGCTAAGACAAAAGGACTGATTAGCTTGTCTTTTGTGTTTGTTTGAAATTTTCCACATTAAAGGTTAATTTTAAAAAGGTTACAAAATGTTAGTGTTTGCATGCAAGTTTTTCTACGTAGAAAATCCTAGAGAATTCAGACAAAATATTACAGTCACATAATTCAGCAAGGTTTTTGGATACAAGATTGCTGTATAAAAATCAATAGTGTTACTACACCCCAGCAATAACCAGATGGGGGGGGAGAATGTGAAAAGCAAAACTATAAAATATGGAAGGAAAATAAAAAAGAAAATCTCTATGCCCTCAGGAGAGGGAAGGATTTCTTAAGCAAGTTACAAATAGCATAGATCATAAACAGAAGATCGGTAAATTTGACTACATTGAAATTAAAAACCTAAAAGACAAAACCCCATAAACAAAAGACAATTGCAATTTGGGAGAAGGTATTTGCAACATATATATCTGTTAAATGAATAGAGTAGGCTAGCTAAAGATGTAGGTATCATTGAGAGAAAGAAAATGCAATAGCAAATTTTGTAAGAATAGGCAATTCACAGAAGAGTAAGTAAGGTTTAATAAACATGAAAAGATGCACCATCTCTTTAATTGTCAGGGAAATGTAAATTATGGTCATACCCTTCACAGGGGCAAAAAATGTGAAAGTGACCAAATCTAGTGTTGGTGAGAATGTGGAGCAAAGAACTCATCGCTGCTAGCAAGGATGTAAAATGGTATAATTTGGCAAATTTAACATTCCTACTCTATGACCCAGTATATATCTTAAAGACATTGTATGCACAGAGACTCATACGAGGCTATTAACCCTAAAAATTTGAAACAATCCAAATGTCCATTAGTAGGGAAATAAAAGAAGAAATTGTGAGATATATATGTAAATATATATATATATGTATTTTCAAGGAAATACCATGTAACAGTTAAAGCATGAGTAGATCCTCAAAAAGTAATGTTGAATGAGAAAAAAAGTGATTTAAAAAAATAAAAGTGATTTGGAGAACGAGTATGACATGTTTACGTAAATTTAAAAACTCAACACTAGATGTACGTAATAGAAGTCTATGTGGAGGGAGGGAAATGAAGCAGAGGGAAAAGCAGACTTCGGTTTTATCTGTAATGTTTAATTTCTTATATTATGTAAAATCTGAAAAAAATGGAAAATGTTAATATTTGTTAATCTTTGGTGATAGGTATGCAAATGCTTTTTCATTATCTGCACTTTGGGGATAAAAATAAAAATTTCAAAAATAAAAAAAAACTGGCAGGAGTTCAGTCATGGTGATTTAAAAAAAAAAGTATCTCGTGGATGCAGAATAAGAGACTCTTGCTGGTTTTATTTGAGTTTGTCAGTTTTGAATTTGCAGTTGAATAAGAATAGAGGCGATATATATTTCACCGTACATGAAAAGTGGTTAGTTACCTGATGACAAAAGGAATCATGTCGTGTTTTTTTTTTTTTTTTCTTCTGGTTTTGGGTCCAGGGCTGTATTGAATGCTGTGGATTATGCAATCTGTAGTAACCCTCCAGCCACGAGGAGTTGGGTGGATTCTGGGAAGCATTTGTTTGGTTTAGTTACCATGGGAAAGATTCCACTTGGTCCTAAAGGGATACGTGTTCTTAGGGTACTTAACACCCTCGCCGCTGAAATGCCGTAAAAAGAAATTCTATTAAGCAGCGGTCTTGAAACTGTTCTATCAAACTCAGTTCAGATTTTCAGTTGGAGTTCGTGATGTGAATTTCTTCTAAACAAAACGGAATCTTAAGTTTTAGTAATAAAAAGATTGGGAATTTATTGTAGGTTGTATAGGGTAAACTCGCTGGGATTTCCACTACTAAGTGCTATGATTTAGAAACGCATTATCTAGTAGATACGTTTGAGCACGGGGAGTTCATTTTTTATATTTGCCTTGTTTAAATTTGTTAAAATAAAAGTAGGCTTTCTAGAAGTACGATTCACAGTACTGGTGTTTACCTCAGGTACGGTGCCTGCGAAGACGTGGGTCTAACGAACGTGGAACAATAGTTGAGTTTTTCTTTCACACACTTGTGTCTACGGAAGATTTTTACATTGATAGCAAGTGATTCTGAAAATTAAATCGAATTTACTTTATTGGTCTCTGATTTTGTTCTGAGATAGTTACGCTGTGCTATTAAAGATATTCAGGGAACAAGCCAGTATGTTCAGAAAGGGCTTTTACTTTTCTTTTCTTTCCTTCCCCCCCTTTTTTTTTTCTAATATTATCAGTACAGTTTACTTAGCCAAAGTAGTGTTTATTTATTTATTTTTCTTAAAGCAGCGGGACAGAAAGTGCCGAAAAGTCCCACAGGGAAATAGTTACTCGCCCATTTGTTTAAACGAGCTCAGTCTCTTGACACTCCTCTTTTCTGATTTGCGCAAGTTCCCCGGGCAGTGGAAGCGCTTTGTCTTCACTCGGCCACCGTCCGCAGGGCGGTAGGGAGTATTTTGTCCTCCTGCCGCCGCCGTCCGGGTTATTAGTCACCGGGTTCCCGGCCGCCGGAACGTGGGGCTTGCGGGAGCCGGCTGCCGTTGCCGGCACCATGGAGTCACCTCTTAGCCCGGGCTTCTCTCACCGAGCCGATGAGGATTGGGGTGAGTGGCAGCTGAGAACGTGCCGGTGCCGGCCGTGGGGTTCTTCTTCCTTCGCGCACTTGCGGAGACAGGTGTGGGCGAGCTCTGCCCCGGGAGCCAGGGCCAGCCTGTCGCTTGCGTCCGCGGTCCTCCTTGGAAGAGTCTAGCCGAACCGGTCGGTTTCTGCCCTGGCAACAGCGAGCGTAAAATGTGGCGTGACTGGAATTATTACCGTTTTTCAACGTTTCCGCTGGGAAAGTACTAGGTGATCATTGTGTGGGGGTGAAAAGGGCGTCGGTAAGAAGTAGAGGGCAGGATGGCTGTGACCACCCAAAAGGCCGTAAGCTGTTTTCTCAGTGTGGGATGTGGGCGGTGATTGCCGTGGAGTGTGTCTGTCCGTGTTTGTGTGAGAGAATGAGAGTGTATACAGAGATCTTCATGTCGCAGCTGCCACTATTGATCTAGGCTGATGTCCATCTTGGCAGAGAACCAAAGCACCTGACCTTGGGCCCCTGACTATCTAGACCTAACTCTTAAAAAACTGATGTAATCCTGACTGCCCTCCAGAAACACCTCTAATTTTTTTTTTTTGCTTCGGATATTTTTGTTTGGTTTTGTGGTCAGGAAGAGTGGAATGGAGTGCAGTGGGAATCAGAGTGGGGAAATTTCGTTATCTAGGTGTTTAGAGGAACCTTTTATTCTTGTCTTTGTTCTGGGACTAATACTAATGCTGGTCTTGGGCTTCAGTGAGAATTTGGGATTGCATAGGTGGAGTGGGTCCTATAGTTGAGCCTACGCCATTCACCTACTTTGGAACTGGGCGGGGGGGGGGGGCGGCAGGAACCCAGACTGATGCTCATCTTTCCCCCTTGGAGACCATCATTCTGAGTAGCAAAGTGCAATCTCAATTCCGTTTACTGAACTGAAATTCTCATTTGACTTTTCAAGGACAGAACTTCTCTAAAATTATGACATGAGAGATTTATTTCAGCCCTTGTTGGATTTCCTAGCTGTTGCTGGAAAAACTGTAGACTGTCAATTTCAAGTTTGTTATCCTGAGCCAAATGTAGTGGTAATAGTAATTACCATTTACCTAGCACTTCATTTGTGTCAGGTGCCCTGCAAGCTTTTACATGCATTATCTTCTTAATCTTCCAACATCACAAGCAGTTATTGTTAATTTACAGATGAGAAAACTGAGGCTGAGGGAGAGCGAATGTTCAATCTTCTAGCTAGTGAGTGGCACAAGGGGGATCAGAACCAGGTTTGTCTACCTCCAGAGCCTCTGCTCTTAGTCATTATTCTATAATGCTTTCCTTTTTTTTTTTTTTTAAAGATTTTATTTATTTAGAGAGAGAGAAGGAGAGAGAGAGAGCATGAGAGGGGGGAGGGTTAGAGGGAGAAGCAGGCTCCCCACCGAACAGGGAGCCCGATGCGGGACTCGATCCCAGGACTCCAGGATCATGACCTGAGCCGAAGGCCGTCGCTTAACCACCTGAGCCACCCAGGTGCCCCTATAATGCTTTCCTTAATTATTTCTGCAGATTGATTCTTCCCAAGATCCACCCCCTCCCAGTTATTAATAAATCTACTTTAGAGTGTCAGGTAGTTACGGTTTTTTCTCAGCTAGTCAACTGTTATATTTTCATGATATTTCTTAAACTGCAACTGTGGGGCACTTCCTCAAAGCATTATTTTGTCTTCTGACACTCGGGCTGCATTTTCCTGATTAATCTGATAAATTGAGGTGTAGTCCTAATGTTCTTTAACAGAGCATTAGGTTCTTTGTAGCTGTTTCACTGACCTAACTCCGGTATCCTGCCCTGCCCCTCCCTGAATGTGCCCATTTCCTATTGTTTTCCAGGCTTCTCTTTTCATACTGTTAACAATCAGTTTTGCTTTCTTCTCTTAGTTGCTCACTTTAATTCTGATTTGTTAGGTGTTCAGTAAGTATGATAGATTTTGCAGGCGCTAAAGTGAAACACTACTTTTTTGCTACTGTTTTTCAGTAGAATATGGCTTCTTTTTCTGGGAGTTGCCATTTTGAGTATCCAAAGACTTCACTGATTTATTTGATTTTTTTTTTTAATATTAGAAGGTGGCTAGTGATACTTAAAAATTCAGATTATGTAATTAGTACTTGTCACTCTAACAACATTGAATAATTAAATAAAGTGATTAGCTCAGAACAGCCTATGGTGGGATGTGCTTTTTCCCTTTATGGGTAATGAAATTTAGAGCTGTGGTCTACAGACGTTTTCTGTGAAGGTCCAGATAGTAAGTATTTTAGGCTTTGTGGTCCTGTGGTCTCTGTTGCAACTACTCAACTCTGCTCTTATAGTGCAGAAGCAGCTATAGGCAATGTAAACTGAACATGTAAATGAGTATGGCTGTGTTCCCATACAACTTTGTTTATGGACACTGAAATCTGAATTTCACATAATTATTTTATTTTATTTTGTTTTAAGGTTTTTTAGTTATTTTTAAGTAATCTCTACACCCAACGTGGAGTTTGAACTCACAACCCTGAGGTCAAGAGTCGCATGCTCTACTGACTGAGCCAGCCAGGCGCCCCCTGGATTTCACATAATTATTTTTAATATTTAATAGGCTTTCTTTTTAGTACAGTTTTAGATTTACAGAATAATTGAGCAGATAGTACATAGAGTTCTATTTACCCCCCCCCCCCACTTTCCATATTGGTAACATTTTGCATTAATGTAGTGAATTTGTTACAGTTGATGAGCCAGTATTGATCCAGTATGATTAACTAAAGTCCATAGTTTACATTAAGATTCCTTCCGTGTTGTACATTTTGTCGGTTTTGACGAATATCTATTATCATGTACGTACAGTATCCGACAGAATAATTTCATGTATCTAAAAAATCCCCTGTGCTCCACCTAGTCATCTCTCCCTCTCTCCTCCGGGGCTCTGAGCAACCACTGATCTTTTCACTATCTATCTAGTTTTGCCTTTTTCAGAATGTCATATAGTTGGAATTGTTCAGTAGGTAGCTTTTTCCACTTAACAAAATGAATTTAAGATCTGTCTATGATTTTTCATGGCTTGGTAGCTTTTTTTTTTTTTTTTTTAAAGCACTGAATAATATTCCATTATATGGATGTACTACAGTGTATTGGTCTCTCAGCCTGCCATAAAATACCATAGACTGGGTGGTTTAAACAACAGAAATTGACTTTCTGACAGTCCTGAAGGCTGGAAGTCTGAGATCAGGTGCCAGCATGGTCAAGTTCTGGTGAAGGCTCTCTTCCTGACTTGTGGATGGCTACCTTTTCACTGTGTCTTCATAAGGCATAGGCAGGAGAGGTGAAAGGGAGAGGGAGAGGAGTGAAGGGAGAGAGAGGAGAGGAGAAGGGGGTGGGGAAGGGTATCTCTCTCCCTCTGCCTATAAGGCCACAGTCCTGTCAGATTAGGGCCCCACTCTTAAATTGTCATTTAATCTTGATTACCTCCTAAAGACCACCCTGTTTCTGGCTACAGTCACACTGGGGGGTATGGCTTCAACATATAAATTTGGGGGGACACAATTCAGTCCATAGCACAGTTTGTTTATCCATTTACATATCAAAGGATATCTTGGTTGCCTTAAAATATTGGCAGTTGTATATAAAGCTGCTATGTTCATGTGCAGCTTTTTGTATGGACATGTTTTCAGATCATTTGGGTAAATAGCAAGAAGCATAATTGCTGCATCATATGGTAAGAACATATTTAGTTTTGAAAGAAAGTTCCAAACTGTTTTCCAAAATGGCTGTACTGTTTTGCTTTCCCATTAGCAATGAATGAATGTTCTTTTTTGTTGCCCCATATCCTCACCAGCATTTGGTGTTGCCAGTGTTTGGATTTTAGCCATTCTAATAAGTGTGTGTGGTAGCTTGTTGTTGTTTTTTTGTTTTTTTTTTTTTAGATTTGTTTATTTGGGAGAGAGTGTGCACGTGCGTGAGTGGGGGCGGGGTGGGGAGAGAGAGAGAGAATCTTCAGCCGACTCCCCACTGAGCCCAGAGCCTGTCATGGGACTCAATCTCTTGACCTGGAGATCATGACTGAAATCAAGAGTCAGTTGCCCAACCGACTGAGCCACCCAAGCACCCCACCTTGTTGGTTTTTTTTGTTTGTTTGTTTTAAGATTTTATTTATTTATTTGACAGAAAGAGCGCACAAGTAGGCAGAGTGGCAGGCTCCCCAGTGAGCAGAGAGCCCAATGGGAGGCTTGGTCCCAGGACCCTGGGATCATGACCTGAGCTGAAGGCAGACGCTTAACTGACTGAGCCACCCAGGTGCCCCCCCTCATTGTTGTTTAATTTTCAGTTCCCTGGTAACCTATGATGTGGAGCATGTGTTCATATGCTTATTTGTCACCTGCATGTCTTTCCGCTCCTTGTCTTCTTTCCCTCCCTTCCTCCTTGTCTTGACTTTGTACAGAAACAATCTTTTACCACATGTAAGGTATATGTACCAATATCAGAAGCTTCTGTCTGCTTCTGTGGTTTCTTTTTTTGTTTGTTTAAACACATTTCTTTCTTTTTTTTTTTTTTTAAAGATTTTATTTATTTATTTGACAGAGAGACACAATGAAAGAGGGAGCACAAGCAGGGGGAGTGGGAGAGGGAGAAGCAGGCTTACCGCGGAGCAGGGAGCCCGATGCGGGGCTCAGTCCCAGGACCCTGGGATCATGACCTGAGCCGAAGGCAGATGCTCAAGGACTGAGCCACCCAGGCGCCCCTGTGGTTTCTTTTATATCCTCAGTCTCTTCTGTGAATTGGCCTTCCGGCACTGACTGCAGCCTGACTCCCCTGGTGGCTGCTGCTTTCTCTGAAGGCTTGGTGAATGGCGGCCTTTTTGATTCTCGAATCCTTTTTGCCATTTGGGCCTCTAAAGATGGGATAGTCACCTTTCTTGTTTTTCACTGCTACGTTCAGCTCATTCTCCTTTCATCCTCCCTAAGAAACATCCAGTTTGAATTTCACATTGTCACAACATGCTGTGCTCTACCCATC